TTGTTGAATTGAGGAAATTTTCTGAACATCCAGACTTTTACAGGAAAACTGCTCTGCAACATAGTGTTGGTCATCATGGAATCGTAGCTTATACCTTGCCATTTGATCTCTTTTCAGTTAGGTGTACTGTTCTTGCCCAAAACTCACCAATCTGTACCACAATTTTCATGTACGGGGAAGAACAATTCAAACCTGGTACTATCTAATTTCTCCTTCCTTTTGTATTATAATAATGTGATCACTTTGCTTTTTTTTTTCATCATTTTAAGTTCCTTACCCAGAATAACCTGGCCCCTGGGAAAGAGATCAAAACCAAACTGGTCACACTCTGCTGGAAAAGCGACGAAGAAAAAGAACAATCCACGGAAATTATCAGATTGCCAGTGCCATATCAACTTCCTCCAAAGCCTTACGGCACAGAAGGTGAGCTGGATTAATTTAACGATTGATACAACTTCAGTGGAGTAACAATAGTAAAACACTTAGAAATGTTTTTTTTACTTTCAGATGTCCCATGGTCTTGGGACAAGAGGTACACAAAGAAGGACGTGTATGGTTCAGTCTGGCCGCGCCATGGTTAGCTAAGCGGTATGCGGACAATATATGATCAATGAAAGGCTAACCCTGCTCCGATGTCGACAACAAGAAGGCCGGTAGCTGATCGCCTGTCAGTGCCCACTACTCAACCATTAGCAGGAAGTAGTACTATTTCCTGGGAGAGATTAGATATTTCTATTACTAATTTGTACGAGCACAGGATATTTTCTTTCTTGTTGGTACGAATCGTGTGCCTTGTCTGCTTCCGATCGTGATGTTTATGCCTCCATCCTCTTTTACAGAGTAGTACTCCTACAGTCCGTCGTCATCCAGCGATAGCGATCTGAAATTTTAACGTGCAAAGGACGCTACCTAAACCAGCTTTTTCCAGAAATCCCCCGTGCTTGTTCTTGCGGCTGTCCTTGCCTTGAGCCGCTCCATGAAAGCAGCAAATTAGTGGTACTGCGTAAAAGAATAGGGGCAATTGACTCGACGATCTCGCTTCCGTCGTCCTGTTGTGATCCTAGACGAGAATCGTCGTCGGTGATCGATCGGGTGATGCGAAGCGTTCGTCCAAATCACGGTGATTCAATCACCAACCCGCCGTATGAACGACCACGAGCACGGGGGTGTGCGACGCTTCCCTCGGCCGCATCCGCCAAAGGGTAAACGCCGCCACCACCACCCACCAAGCGACACGGCGCGCGCGCGCACCGCATGAATCGCGTGGTACGTACGTACGCCCCCATCCCACCAACGGGCCACCACGCGACACGAGACGGCACCACGGCTTCCGCCCCCCGCCGACCCCTCGCACCAAGAGCCCACGTACCGCACCGCGCACCGGTGCCGGTGCGTGCTCGCTTTTGCCTCCCTCCGCGAGCCGGGCGCGCCACGCGACGCGCGCGCGCACACGTCGCACGCCGTCTCGACGTCTCGCTCGCTAGTCGCTACCCGCGTCCGCCCCACGCAACGCAAGGAGTGAAAGAACGCGATGCCGCCCGCCCGCCCGCCGCCACGTGAACGCGCGGCGCCCCTATCAATCCGCGGGCGGCGGGGTCCGCGCGCTCGCGGGGGCCCCGCGTGGCGGTGGTGGTGGGTGGGTGGGTGTCACCGTCGCGAATCTCGAATCCGCGAACCGCGAGTCCGGGGGGGAATCGGGTCCGTCCATCCATCCCTCCCAGTCGCGTCTCGCGAGTCGCGACGGCTTCGCTCTCTCACCTCCTCGGCCAAGGTGGGCCCCGCCTAGTGGCTGCTCGTATCGATTCCCGGATACGGGAGATCGACGATGCTCCGCTATGCGCCGTTGCCGTTTGGGATTGATTGATTGATTAATATAATTAATTTTGGTTTAATCACGTACGTTTCGTCGTAATCCCGGCATAGACCGCGTCTGATGCTGCGGGTTGGAATGACCATTAGCGTAGGTCGGTCGTCTGGTCCGGATTCTCTGCAAGTAGCGGGCACGTAGTATGCTTCATTCCTTTAGGAAGAATCGTGTCACCATTTCCTCGTAATTTTTTTCTCCATCCGTCTCCGTCCTAAAAGAATGTAGTAGTTAGTTTTAGTTAGTTAAGCAACATTTCATTAATTAATACAAAGAGAATGAAGGAAGGAATTACTACTTCTTCGATGACAAAAGAGAAAAAAATATGAAGTATTTTCTATGCAATAATTATAGCTATTTTTTTATTACGAAATAGAGGCATGTTCGTACCTAGAGAGATCTAATGGGCTCTACTTAAAAATACAAACAAATTTTTAAATATGTTCATACACAATGTCCTATTTTATTTTGTTAGAGTATTTAAGAATTCTATTATAGGTGTGGTCTAATATGAATTTAATTTTAAAGTTAATTGGATCCATATGCCATTGTACTTTGATAAATTGAAAAAATACCACTACTATTCACAATATCGGCTAGGTGGCATCGATATTTTGTAAAATTTGAAACAGACCATTATATACATCCCAAACACAGTTGTACCAAGTTTTTTATATTGTATTTTCATACTTACCAGAATGCTCCCTATCCCTTAGAGGCTGACAAGGAGGACCCACACGTTAAACTTATCTTCTTCCCCGATTATTCCTCTAGCTTGACGATTCCGACTGCAACAACAACAGTGGTGGAGGGCTGGCACTAGAGCTTACCAGTGATGACGTCCCCGCACCTGGCTTCCCGATGGTGTGGTAGATCCTGCAACGGTGTGCTTGAGCTTGAGCGTAGATTGCAGCCCCAGAGGCGAACAGCAACATCTAGATTGTGGCAGCGAGCAATAGTAGCCCCAGTGGCGGCGGTCGGTCCTCGTCTCATTATCGTCGGTGAGTCCCAGCACCGACCCATTCACCACATCACTGCCACGGAGTTCGAGGGAGTTGGCAGCATTCCTCGTGTGAAAACCCCATCGCTAGCCTCTCGACAACGTGGCGGCAAGGTCAATGCAGGCGGGCTAGATTGGGGCGGTGAGGAGCAGTAGTAGAAGCAACCCCAGTGGCGGTGGTCGTTTCTCGTGTCGCTGTCATCGACAAGCCCCAACGTTGACCTCTCCACCACTGACACCACCTTCAATCTCTCCACCACTGTCGCCACTGCCACTCTACTCCCGTCAGTCTTGCTGTACTAGTGGAAGTGTTAGGGAAGATAAGGTTGACATGTGGGTTCCACTAGTTAGCCTATAAGGTTTTGGGGGCATTTTGGTTTATACGAAAATACGGTATGAAAAAATCAAGTCCAACTACGTCCGGGCCGTATATAGTGGTATATTTTCTCTTACAATTTGAGAAATTAAAATTTTTACAAAATATACCAATGGCACACGACCAATATCAACGGATAGTAGTGATATTTTTTCAATTCAACAAATTTGCAATGGCATGGATTATAGTAACCATAATTTTAATTTGTGCTCATCAGTTCAATATTGCTTTTTTACTTTGTGCCTCACACAAGCTATCTTCTCTCTGGCCATCACTAACAATAGGGGTGAAAACGGTACGGAAACGGACGAAAACAACTTTTATCATTTTCGTTTTCATTTTTTTTTTCTGAATCGGAATCAGAAACCCCGGATATGAAAACGGAATCGAATATTATTGAAACCGAAAACGGAGCAAAAACGAACCGACGCGAATACGGTATGGAAATTTATCGGAATACAAAAACCCCTCAAACTGATAAATCTAATTCTCAAGTTTCAACGATCAACAATTCATCATAAAACACAAATTATATAAGTTCAATTGTTAAGTCTCAACAGTACATCACAAAACACAATGTATGAAATAAATTATCTATATTTAAGAGAGTAATGCTGTTGATAAATCCCAAATGCGGGAAAAAAAAATTCTTATGTAACTTCAGATTTGCATAACAAATATTTTTTAAAAATAACATCTAAACACCATGGTATTCACTGTTCAGTGCTAAAAAAAAGAACCCAGGGTATTTCAGTCATAAAATTTTCAGAAGTTTCGAGAAAATTCCAACCGACAGATTTTATTTTCAAAAATAGGTCCGGAATCCGAAAAGTTTCCGCACCGTTTTCACGTCCTAACTAACAATATAGGGAACGTGTGCTAAATATAAAATGAGACCTTATATATGTAGCGCTGATAACTAGAACTATGTAAGAAAAACTCATCCACCTACTTTAGTGGCAATCGGGCTAAATAAAAAAGAGTCGCTACACTAGTTTCGTTTTCCTTAGTAATTAAGTGGGAAAATGAAATCATTATTGCTTAGAATATACGTTCACATCTCTGTCATGAAGTTAAATTATTCGAGGTAGCCATAATTGTCATCAAACTCTTCTTGAATAAAAAAATCTTTCTAGCTGAACTCAATGGGTAAAGAGAGATATTTTTTTTTAAAAAAAAATAGAATGAAGATATTCTGAACGTATCGGCAAAGATTTAAACATATAATTATATAATTTTATAGTTTGTGCATTCGTTATATCGCACGTCATTAAGGACATGTCTTACTCCATCTCAATTTTTATTTAGTAATTAAAGACAATTGACTTATTTTTATTATTTATCTTTTTTCGATTAGATGCAAGGTACTTACGCACACACTTTGTGCTCATGTGCATGTGTGAGTGCACCTCCTCAATACACGTTCAACTAGCGACACATCTCTAATATCACTCGCCTATTTAATACATTTAGGTAGCAATATCTGAATTCAAGCACTCCACCATCACCAGACCACTTTTAATAATATCTAAAATACAAAAAATAATTTTACAGAATAGCATGAAAAGTATGAAACGAACTATTTAGGTTTTTCACATACAAAAAAAAAAAGAATTTTGCTCGTGCGCGAGCGCCAATCTCCCATATTGGGCACACAGGCAACAACAGAGTGGCTGCCCACAGAACAACCCACAAAAAACGATGATCTAACGGAGGACAGCAAGTCCGCAACAACCTTTTAACAGCAGGCTTTGCGGCCAGGAGAGAGGAGGAGAGGCAAAGAAAACCAAGCATCCTCCTCCTCCCGTCTATAAATTCCTCCCCCCTTTTCCCCTCTCTATATAGGAGGCATCCAAGCCAAGAAGAGGGAGAGCACCAAGGACACGCGACTAGCAGAAGCCGAGCGACCGCCTCCTCGATCCATATCTTCCGGTCGAGTTCTTGGTCGATCTCTTCCCTCCTCCACCTCCTCCTCACAGGGTATGTGCCTCCCTTCGGTTGTTCTTGAATTTATTGTTCTAGGTTGTGTAGTACGGGCCTTGATGTTAGGAAAGGGGATCTGTATCTGTGATGATTCCTGTTCTTGGATTTGGGATAGAGGGGTTCTTGATGTTGCATGTTATCGGTTCGGTTTGATTAGTAGTATGGTTTTCAATCGTCTGGAGAGCTCTATGGAAATGAAATGGTTTAGGGATCGGAATCTTGCGATTTTGTGAGTACCTTTTGTTTGAGGTAAAATCAGAGCACCGGTGATTTTGCTTGGTGTAATAAAGTACATTTGTTTGGTCCTCGATTCTGGTAGTGATGCTTCTCGATTTGACGAAGCTATCCTTTGTTTATTCCCTATTGAACAAAAATAATCCAACTTTGAAGACGGTCCCGTTGATGAGATTGAATGATTGATTCTTAAGCCTGTCCAAAATTTCGCAGCTGGCTTGTTTAGATACAGTAGTCCCCATCACGAAATTCATGAAAACAGTTATAATCCTCAGGAACAGGGGATTCCCTGTTCTTCCGATTTGCTTTAGTCCCAGAATTTTTTTTCCCAAATATCTTAAAAAGTCACTTTCTGGTTCAGTTCAATGAATTGATTGCTACAAATAATGCTTTTATAGCGTTATCCTAGCTGTAGTTCAGTTTATAGGTAATACCCCTATAGTTTAGTCAGGAGAAGAACTTATCCGATTTCTGATCTCCATTTTTAATTATATGAAATGAACTGTAGCATAAGCAGTATTCATTTGGATTATTTTTTTTATTAGCTTTCACCCCTTCATTATTCTGAGCTGAAAGTCTGGCATGAACTGTCCTCAATTTTGTTTTCAAATTCACATCGATTATCTATCGATTATCCTCTTGTATCTACCTGTAGAAGTTTCTTTTTGGTTATTCCTTGACTGCTTGATTACAGAAAGAAATTTATGAAGCTGTAATCGGGATAGTTATACTGCTTGTTCTTATGATTCATTTCCTTTGTGCAGTTCTTGGTGTAGCTTGCCACTTTCACCAGCAAAGTTTCATGTCTGATCTCGACATTCAGATCCCAACTGCCTTCGGTATGCATGTTGTTCTCTTCCCTCTTTGTGATGGTCTGAGTGCCTGGAATATTTGTGCTCATCATGTTTTCCTGAACATGTACAGATCCCTTTGCTGAGGCCAATGCTGGAGACTCTGGTGCGGCTGCAGGATCAAAGGACTACGTTCATGTACGCATCCAGCAGCGTAATGGCCGTAAGAGCCTGACCACTGTCCAGGGATTGAAGAAGGAATTCAGCTACAACAAGATCCTCAAAGATCTCAAGAAAGAGTTTTGCTGCAATGGTACTGTTGTCCAGGACCCAGAGCTTGGCCAGGTGTGTGTAATAACCGAAATTTGTGGTGCCTGATCTTTACGTTTTTCTATCTTTCTGAGCTAGTTTTTCTGATCAATGCTTCACTCTGTAGGTCATTCAACTTCAGGGTGATCAGAGGAAAAACGTATCAAATTTTCTTGTTCAGGTAGGGATCATTCTTCTTGTGCATGCTTACTGCAATTAGATGTACACATGCTGTGATGTATGAAAAGAATACGTCTTGACTTGTTGTAACATGCTATGTCCCGCAGGCCGGCATTGTGAAGAAGGAACACATCAAGATTCATGGTTTCTGAGCAACTGCCAAAACCATTGCAAAGACTATAGTTTGGGGTGGAGTATACTTGGTTGTGTACATGCCTGCGTGTTCCATTGTACACACAAAACCTAGCCACCTCTTGACTCTTGAGTGTATGCTTGTTACCCGTGTGTTGAAGTTTGTAAGAGGCACCATCACTATAGATGATGGCTTGTGTCCCTCTTTCATCAAGATTGAATAATATATGCTACTTTGAGAGCGCTATCCTGCTTGCCTGATTGTGTTAATACTTACATCCGTCCCACACTCCCACAATATAAGGAAATAAGGTATTTTGGCAGTTTAGAGCAAAATTCCCTTATATTTTTGGGACGGATGTCCTCTTTTCTGCATTTTTTTATGTTCATATGTTCCTGAAGAGTAAGGTGGATCTTGATCAACCTGTCGGTTTATGGTGATTGATTTGAGTGGAATAGAATGGGCCAACGTCCGGCATACAGTTATGCTTCAGCTAGCTCCAGGAGTTGTGGTTTTAGATTGCTCATTTTCTCATTCTTTTTCATGGACGATAGCTGAACTGCTGAAGTAGTGAAGTCGGCATGCACTGGCTACTGTATATGTATATGGCAATTGATACTAGTAGTAGTGTCAGCTGAAGCTGCATGCCTTCTACTGTGGAGTACTAGCTGTTGATCCAAACTCCAGACCGTGAACTGTTTGTTTTTTCATTACTGCTGGGTACGGTACACTAGCTTCATTCTGTGCATGAGTCATTCTCCGGCATGTCTGCAGGACATCTCATGATACTTCTGGCACTTCAACAGTGATATTTCCAGTGTACTGCAATGAGTTTATTCTTATGGTTATGTACAGTACTCGTGCTAGTAATAGTGTATTGTACGAAATGAATATGGGTAGTACTAGTAGTTACAGGATTCACAAAGCTGGGTAAGTTAGAAATGAACATGGGTAGTACTAGTAGATCACAAAGGTTCAGGATTCAGAAAGTTGGATCTGATTCTCGAAGCCTTCAGTGCTTCTACGTCGCCTTCATCAGTCAGCATGTATGTGTACCATCTTTTTTGAGTGATTTCTTCCCCCAAGTTTCAACAAACAAAATGATGTTACGACCAGACCATCAAGGTTGAGAAATCAAATGCAATCTTGTCCCCTGTTCAGTCAGACGTGCACGTAGTACATCACAGCATTTTTCAGTCCCGAATTCGCTCATCCTGCTGCTACAGGTGGTCAAACAGTATAGTTCAACTTCAGACTTTCGTGGTGCTTCTTCTCTGTCAATGTGTACAACCTATTGCTCATGATGTGTTCAGATAGATAAGATTATAGTGCAAGATGTTGCCGTGGAATCCTTGCAGGTGCGTGCAGTGACTTGAACATGGGCTGCATGTGTTCCTGCCCCTGAAATACGGTGAGATCGATTTGGTTAAGATAATCAGTGTTCCTAACCACGTACTGTAGTAGCCGTTAACGTTGTCAGCCAATTATCAAATACGCTGGGACATCTCTCTGCATGACCTGGTGACCATCAGAGTAGTCAGTGCCTCATTGTGCTTGTAATTGATCTACTACTAGTATTCTCTTCAAAATAAACTGCGAATCAAACCCCAACATATTCTTTTCTTCAGTAAACCCCAGACAAATTTTCATGCCAGGATAAAATCCTTGTCACACGAAAACAAAACCAAAAATATGTAGCTTATGTCTCTGTTAGAACAACACGAGATCACTGGAGAGTGGAGATTATGGCCCTCCACGGTCATTCCTGCCGTTGAAACGGCGCACAATCTTTTTGGATGCTTCTTTCTTTCCCCCTCTCCATCTTTTCTTTTTCTCACACACATGCAGATGCCCACAGATCGCTCATCACTTCATCAGCAGTAGTAACCTTTTCCTTTTGCTATCTCCCTTTTTCTTCCGATTCGTGCTCGCCAAACGAAAGGAACATCTCGTCACATTTTCCTTTTTTCAAGAACAATCTCGTCACATCATGATGCATTTTCCAGCCTATCCTCACCTTCATCACCCAGATCTGTGGCAGGAGAGAAACATTATTTTTTTCTCTGACATCCATGCCTAACGAGATGTGAGATCTGGACGCATGTTTCGCCCATATGCCTCTGTACTGTAGTACATCTTCTGATCTTCATCTTGGCTGTCATCTCGCCATTGGATCACCACTAAAATTACCCCCACACTAACACATGCTTTACAACGTCATTTGTCAGGCTAGTACTACGATGCGTGTACACTGAAAGCAGCAAAGGAAAAATAATAATTTTATCCATTTCATCATCCAAAAAGAATATGGTTTCCAACGTGACAGCCACTCTACGTGGCCCAATCCAAAAATAGTAGTACTGTAGTAGTTACAGTGAATCTGAGCCGCACGATCGAAGGACGATCCGATCCTGGCCGCACATCGTACGGCCATGTACGTCGGCGGCGGCGCCGGCGATGGCCTCACGAGCTGGTCGTCCGGAGCAAGCATTCCTCCGGCGGGGAGGGGAACCGCTTGCGGTCGTCGCAGTAGTCGTAGATGACGAGGTTCCTCGCCACCCAGGCGGAGTCCTCGCGCTGGCCGGCGTCGAGCGCCCACGCCGGCGGCTGGTCCCACCAGCTGTTGCCGGTGGACGCCGCGCAGCTGGGCGGGCTCGCCGCCGCCGTGCCCCAGGAGCACGCGTCGGCGGTGAAGTCGCGGTAGGAGGAGATGAACGGCGCCTTGGTCCAGTCCGTCTTCTCCAGCCCGCCGCGCGTCGCCCAGTCGTCGGCGTTCCAGATGCTGGAGAACACGTACATCGGCTTCATGATCGGGAAGAAGGTGTTGGGCTTGTCCGAGTTCCGGTACTCGCGGATCGGCACCTTGTCCACGAAGAACCTGATGATCAATCACCACCACCATTGCAAAGAACATCAGAAATCGAGATTAATTGACAGAAAATGGATTTGGGTGGGCACGGCACGGGGAAGACGAAGGTGGTGGCATGGCATTGGCAGCCATTGCTTGGTTCTAAACAGAATGTGGCCAAGTAGCAGCAACCTGGAGTGCTCGTACAAGCGGCAGGGTTTGGCAATATCTGCAGGTTCAATTAATCGCCATCGGAGCGACCCATTTCAAGGGGTAGGTAGGTAGGTGGGCGCATTCAACTCGTAGTCGTCGTCGTCGTTGACGGCGGCGGCGGCGGATGCTATCTCCGGCGAGCCCGGATGGCCACGGAGTACGATTGAAACAACTAGAAGCTTGATTACTATTGTTCGGTTGATCACTTACACGATCTGCTTGGGGTTCCAGAGGATGGAGTAGGAGTGGAAGTCGGCGGTGGGGTCGAACCACAGCGAGTGGCGCATCTCCCGGCCGCCGACGCCGCTGCGGTACACGTTGGTCTGGATGATGTAGGGCTCACCCGTCCGGTTCCCCAGGAACTCGAAGTCCAGCTCGTCGCGCTGCGGCGCCGCGTCCACGTCGGAGCACATCTGCAGATTACGCCGTCGTCGAGGAGCTCGGTTTCAGTTTCAGTTCGGAGTTGACACAAAGAAGACGAGCTAGCTAGTTCATCGTACGTACGTAGTAGGCGGTGACGACGCCGGCGGAGTCGTTGCCGGCGAGCTTGAGGTTCATGCTGAACCACCCGAAGAGATACCTCTCCTTCGTCTGGAACCCGACGCCTGAAACACAAACCCAAGAAACAGGGCAGCGTCAGCATTAGCCATTGCCGGAGTGGAGCTCGAACTACTCTCACTCACCAGTCTTGTTGTCGAGGTAGAGGTACCACGTCTGGCCGTCGGCGGAGGTCTTGACGTGATCCTCGGCTCCGGTGATCTCGAAGTTGTCGCCGAACGTCGGCGCTGCCGCCGCCGCCGACGCCCCACTGAAGCAGAAACCGCACACAGCAACAGCAAAAATCATCGCCGCCGTCAACCCACCAACCCACGGCCGCCGCCCCAGCGACCCCATCCTCGATCGTCCTCGACACCCGAGCCGGCCGAGCTCACGTAGCAGAGGACAGCGAGGCAGCAGCAGAGGTCGATCGATAGTGAGAGCAGCACAGAGAGACAAGAGGCGCACCACCGCGTAGTATTATAGGCGTGAGAGAGATGTGAAGTGGCTACTGTACTAAAAAAGCCTAAAGAAAGACACAAGTTGGGGCTTGGGCGCGCCCCGGGGTTCACGAAGCGTGTAGTTTTTGCCGGCTGTTTCCGTCTCGGCGCGGCGCGGCGTGGTGCGGTGAAAATCGCACCGTTGCTGCTGCTGCTGCCGCGCGCGGCCGCACCAAGCCCCTCTTTTTCTATCGAGAAACCCAGCTGCCTTCTCCCTTTGTTTATGCCTTTCTCCCTTTGTTTATCGCGACCGTTTTTTGAGTTGGAGCGATAGTGGATTATATTATGGGGAGGGAGGGCAACTAGTTGTTGTCACTCATCAGTCATCACGCATGGTGTTCGATCAGATCTGGGGCTTGGACCGGTCAGGGTATCTCATATATATTCTCATCAGTTTTATCCGCTCCGTGGTGGCCGTCACATGAAGTTCGTCGCGTCGTGTTGACGAGGCACGTTACATACTCCTGTCCTACGAGTGTACTAGTGGATCTGTGGATGGATCATGGATGGTGGTGGATTAATGGTGAGATGGTGGTACTAGCTAGCAGGGCATGTGACTGTTGATGACTTGATGCGAGTGAGAATGAGCAGTCAGTCAGTCTGCTGTTGATTGCGAGAGCCGAGAGGAGAGGAAGGGGATCAAGGGAGGATTAAAGGCGGTGCACCGCCCAACCAACCTGCCCTCTGTGCCTCTGCCCTCTGCCGCGAGAGACCGGGTGACGGAGGAAGTGAGCACGAACAGGAAACCCCTAGTGCAGATTCGCAGTAAAAAAAAAGACCACCAGATTTACGGCAGTTTTGGATTGCCAAAATTTCTTCACTATGATATCACAATTTAGCTATATTTTAATAGCAAACCAAATAAGATGAATATAAATTTATTCTACCAAGTAATTGGTAGTGCCAAAATTTACATATGTTTTAGCACTAAAAAAATTAGTAGGGCACTGATCCAAACAAGCCCTTATTTATTTCATGCATTGATGACTGGAAGGGGCCGTGTTTGAAAGTTGAAACCACACGCATGTTTGTTCATCGGACGGCCACGTGCTCTCATGCATCCGGACCGTTGATCCGTGCTCGTGTACTACACGTTTACTCGTGCTGTACTTGTAAGTCATCTTTTACAGTACACTGGCAATGCTGTTAGATTTTTCACGTCCCGTTTTTATTTACCCCCTTTCTTTTGGACGTCTGTCCTTTTTATCCCTTTCTTGAAAGGCAAAAGAGATGCTTTCTTGCAAATTGCGTGGGTCGTGTCTGGCTGTAGGACCTCGGCCGACACTCCTGACGAGGGCGCAACGAATAAAGGAGCATTTGTTGGCTTCTGCGTGTGGTGCACAGTTGCAGTGTTGCACAAGGGAGATATCTCAAGACTCGAGGGGCAGTAAAGGAAAAAAAAATGTTTCAGCAGGAGAAAGAAAAAGGACAACTCATGTAGACATCTATCTGGTCTGAATTTTTCACCAATATCTACAAATAGGTCCCAAAAAGTTTATTGTAGAAATGGACATTTTCTCGACACCAACATACGCCGTGGTACAACATGACAACGCTAATGAAATTGACACCTATTTGTAAAAGAATTCAATAAAATCTATTTGTAATTAAAAAAAATTAAAAATAGGTCATCGACGCCAATAATATGACCTATTTCATATTAGTGACTTAACTTCCACTAGAGGGCAAGGGGAGATGTTAGACCACGTGCCAATAACATTGGCGCCATGAAAATGGTCCATTTTTAAAATAAGTTTTTTGGGTCTATTTATTAAATCAGTTTTTTTAATTGGTCAAAAGGTGAAAAATCCAGCCTACCTAGTACTAGTACATTGCAAGTGTACTGTTTCTTATACCTTCTACTGTGCAGCTGTAGCACAGTACACTCTTCTTTAGATAATGGAAAAATATATATAATGCAACCTATACATAAGTAGTATAAATCTGGAAACTACTGTACAATTAAAAAAAAGGGCATATGAGATGTGTTTACGTTACTATGAGTAAACTTTTTACTATGATAACATGGATAAATATCATACGTACATTTTTAGATTTTGCGGTATTTTCAGGTTTGCACTTAATTTTTTTCTCAGAAAACATATTTGGTACAGTACGAGTAAAGCGCGGGAGGGGGGGGGGGGGGTTCAGAAACCTGAATGAACTGCGAGTACTTCGGCCGTTTGGGCAACCATGATATCGCCATACTTTTGTCCCTCCGATTTCAGGTGTACTACACTCTAATCATGGGTCAAAGCCTTTATTTGGCAACTTTGATAAATTGGGCCTATGATAGATGGCTAGCTAGATGCAACCAAAACCAAACGGGCTTTGGTTCTCAGTTCAAGGCTCAGGTGGATGGACGTTGGGCCAGTTGAGAAGTTGTCATCCAAGGGCCCTTCACACGGTATGGGCTGTAGTTGGATCACATCAACTCATGGGCCATCACCCATCGGTAGTTTGGTCTTAACTCAGCCCATCTAGTCTACTTCGGCCACAAAACACCAATTCAATGTGACGTGTGATAGTTTTGCGGTAACGCCGTAACAATATACTACCTTGCTAAGAATGAAAATTTTTTACTCCAGAAAGAATTTTCCATGAGAGATATTTCTCGAACTAAAGGACCACGCAGCCATGGTTGCTGGCTTGCTGCTTGTCTGTTCTTGTACAGAGGTGACAAAATGGTATGGTAGGGCCAGGAAACTGTTGGTGTATGTGCCAAAAACGAAAACGAATTGGAAAGGAATCAATGATGGAGATATGCCTTTGTCACCAATATCAAATTTCGAATAGTCTGGAATATCCCACTAGCTCCAGACATGCTGAGGTTGCTCTGGCTAACATTGTTGTGAAAATGAAAATTGCTATAACCTTATTCTAAACCTGATTAGTGACTGATTAATTCCTTTTTCTGAAACTGATAAATGTGTGATACTAAGAAGGGATTTAGCATCAATTATTGAGAGAGAGAAGAAAATGGTGAGAAAACCACTGTTGAGATTTGAGAAGGACTCGAAAGCAGGGCAGCTGGCCAGTGGCTTTGCTCTTGATAGCTTTCTATATCGACCGTTCTCATTAGTGACTGATTAACTGGACCTTTTGTTTTTCGACATATTTCCAGTGAATAGAAATGCTGAATGCCTCCAGATATTATGGGTTCTGGCTAGATTTTCTATGAGCTGTTGCATTTTCTTGGTCATGTGGTCATGCTGCTGTTCTAAAACAAAACAGAGTTTCTCACTCTGTCCAGTGTCCACATATAAAAACATGCAGCCATCATATTAGCATCAACCTGACCAACAAATATAATGGCACTGAATCATTTTTATTTCCTCATCCTTTTTATTCATTCCTCCCAGAGAGACGGATCCATGGAAGTTTTCTTGCCCTCATCAGGCAAGCAGAGCACACACACACGGTGGCAGTGGAAGTGCTATGAACAAGACGCTAATCAACATCCAGAGCTAAAACAAACAAGGGGATCAATGCAAATCCCGAAAAAAAAACACAGGGGAAAGTCCACATCTTCTTCTCGTCCCCAACTCCTCCGTGTCACCACCACGTCTTGCGGATTTTTTTTTACCCTGTTCTATTCGCTCAGGCGTCCACGATCTCGCCGTCGTCCTTCGACGCCAGGATCAGCTCCGGGTGCGCCGCCGCCGCCGCCGCCTTCTTGATCGTGCCGTCGATGGCGTTCGGCCGGCCGAGCGCCTTCAGCGCCAGGTGCGCCGCCTTCTGGCCGGAGATCATCATGGCTCCGAACGTCGGGCCCTGCAACAACGAATTTGTTCAAATCCAAGAACGGGGGAGAGATTATGGTGAAGAGTTTGATGTTTTTTTGGTGCGTACCATTCTCGGGGCGCCGTCGATCTCGGCGACCTCCATGCCGGTGACGATCATGCCGGGGACGACCTCGCGGGTGAGGCGGACGATCTCGTCCTCGGCGGTGTTCATGTCGAGGGCGCGCATGCCGGGCACGGCGTCGATCATGCCGATGTCCTGCAGCCGCTTGACGCCCGTGGCGCCGAACGGCCCGTCGTGGCCGCAGGAGCTCACCACCACCCTGGACTCCATCACGTTGGGGTCCATGCACGACTGCGTGTCGTGGTTCATCGACACCAGCGCCCAGTTGGTGACCACGCCGCCGACGCGGCCCTCCTTGACGATGAGGTCCTCGACGGCGACGGCGTTGAACAGCTTCACGTTGGGGCGCGCCAGGAGGCGGCTCATGACGGTGGAGGTGAAGAGCGCGGCGTGCTTGATGACGACGTAGTCCTCCTGCTCGTCGTACGCGACGCCGAGCTCGTCGAGGAACAGGTGCGCCGGCTTGCGCACCACCATGGCGGAGAACAGCTGCCCGCCGAGCCACGCGCCGCCGCCGGGGGACACCGACTGCTCGATGACGGCGACGCTGACGGAGGGGTCCTTGGAGAGCTCGTACGCGCAGGAGAGCCCCGCGGAGCCGGCGCCGACGACGACGACGTCGGTGTCGGCGTAGGTGATCATGTCGGTCATGTACCGCCGGGTCATCTCGCGAGACACGATGGACTCCTTGATGGGGCTGAACCTGATGGCGTTGAGGTCGTAGGGGGGAGTGGACGACGACGACGAGATGGAGTTGCAGATGGCGCCGCCGGTGCGCGGCGCGACGGAGACGGTGGGGTTGCGGGCGGCGGCGGGGAGGCGCGCGCCAGCGAAGGAGGTCTTGAGGAGGCTGGACGCGGTGGTGGCCATGGCTGCCATGCGAGAGGAGGAGGAGCTGAGCTTCTTGCTCTGGGATGAGGAGAGTGTGTGTGAGTGGATAGAGCGTGGGTTGGCGGGGGTATAAGAAGAAGAGGAGAGCGCAAATATCTGGGAGTGCCGTCCACGTGTCAGCAGTATGGGCCTCTGGGTTTCGGATTGATTGGAGGAGATATTTTGGGAAGGTTTAGTGAGGGTTTTTGGACTGTCTTCAGGAGAACGGGACAAGTGCTGCTAAGTCACGGACTCACGGGAACAGTGGTGCTGTGTTCAGTGACAGTGTCCGTGATACCGTGACGACTAAGGCTGTGTTTGCAATCCTATGTTCCCAACCCCTCTCCCTCGTTTTTTGTGCGTACGCTTTTCAAACTAGTAAACGGTGTGTTTTTTGCAAAAAGTTTTTATACGAAAATTGCTTAAAAATCATATTGATCTATTTTTGAAAAAAAATAGTAAATATTTAATTAATCATGCGGTAATGAATCGCTCCGTTTTCCGTGCGGGGAGTTTAGTTCCCAACTTCCCATATCGGAACACAACCTAATAATGGTTTTTGGTGATCGATTTTTTTTATGGCTACCTGTAGTGAGGGGTACTAGTGGTGGAGCCCGGGTGGTCACTCGACCTGTACAGGAGCTGGCTTTGTCGCTGACTGTAATAACATATCGAGAATTTTTTAGTCTGAAAGAAATCCACCATAATATGTTGTTGATATCGTCTAATATCGAGAAGTGCGGTTTTAACTTCTTGTCACGCGTTGGTAAACCTAAGTGTCTGTCCCTAAGAAAACTATCTTTGCCAACTTCTTGATGGATCGCCTTGACTGTTTTGTTGCACGACAGTCGTTGGGAACAAAGCTCATCTTCACAAATTACATGGAGGCATGGGGTATACTAGTGGTAAAGGTTCCGGGGGATGAAAACCTTCTAGTTTTTTGGGTTTGACGATCGCGAGCGGGGATCGCACTACATGTTTTTGTTGAGCAACAATCATCGTTTATTTGTTGAAGTTGTCATATTTAGGTCTTTGGACGTAGATCTAGGTCTAATTTCATATGATAGCGGCTATCTCTGTTTATGATAGTAATTGTTTTCCCTAAAAAAGTTGCTTTGTTAATATATCCTATCAATCAATTGTTTTAATTTCTCTTTTTTTCTAAATAATTCTTTTAGAACTTAGTTGTATTTCTCTGTTTTTTTCCTACATCCTTGTTCCTAATAAAAGATGAGAAACACCCAGGGGTCTTTCGGCTAGCTCCACAAGGTGGTGGGCTAGACGACTTGGATTCGAAGCCTCAACCCTTCTAATTATTTGATATTAGGTTATTCTCTAATATTCGCGTTCCTAATAAAAGATAATGATACACTTTCAGGGATAAATAATGGATGTTTTCTGATCTGGTATATATTTTTTTCCTCTCGAACTAATCTGATATAAACGAAAAGAGACAAAGTCATTTTTATTTGTTTTTTATCATTGCAGACAAGCTTAAATGATCTACCTAATTTGAAATGTCTCACAGATCAATATGCATGATATTGATTATAATTAGAATGATTTTACTACAGGGACAGTGAATTTCATAACTTGAGGCTAGTAGATGGTAGCTTCTCTTGCACTGAAAAATCTCTGGTAAATATCTGCAACTGCTCCAGCTTTGTCCACATATCAGACAAGTGTCATATCGCCTTTCTTCGAGTGATTTTTCTACATCTTTTTCAAGACAGATATTTGCATGTCTGCAATCTTCAAAACTATGCAGAATGAATTGAGGCCGTTGAAGTTCCCATCATATCTCGTCAGCAAAGCATACAACTTGCTGATAGGGACCATACGACGAATGAAGAAATTCCAAATGCTACACTGCTTTCAGTTACATTTTCTTAATTTATATGATGATTGCAATTACTACTACTACTATCTGGGTAAAACAATAATTGTCATGACCTTCCGCTGCAGAAGTGATTGAGGCCCAATTATAATCTAGTAAGACAGTGCAAAGCCATCTCCATTCAGATTTGTGCCACACATTTTTGTCCATCCAATTCCTGAAAGTGACACTGGATCAGACAGGCTCTTTTCTGAAGAAAGATCACGTTATATGGCCTGTTCTCTTTTCCTGGTTGTGATCATGTGATCCTTATATCATTTCTTTGAAGATGACCCCTGCATTGTTTACTGGCAAATGGCAACATATAGTGATGATATATTTCTTATGAACCACATACATAGGCACGGAGGTATGATTTTGACTTCAGATATTTTACAGCGAAGTAGTCTGAGTGGGTTTAAATTATTTTACTTTTCTTTTTTGGAAATATCAAACCTGAGAAGTAAAAAAAAACAGAGACGAAGTTAAGTTTTGAGTGAAAAGCACAGGGAAAAGAACTTTTTTTTTCTTTTATAAAGAGAACTACATTCAGGGGTTGCAAGGTTTGTTTTAAGGGTAATTTTACCATCCTTGAGAAAAATACTAGGTGATAAGTTAAAGTGAGTTCAAATTTACCCTTTCCCAACTTCTGCTCTTTCGTTTTTATGCACACATTTCCTGAACTAGTAACTATATGTTTTTTAAAATCTTCTATATGAAAATTGCTTTAAAATATTATATTAATCCATTTTAAGTTTTTTTTCTAATACTTGATTATCATGCGCACCATTCCGTTTAGAATGCGTGAAGAATTAGCTCCCAACCCATGATAACAAACATTCTTATTGGGTACTTCGAGTTATCAAACTTTTTAGTGTCAAATTTAGGTATATCGAGGCATTTTTCTCAAGTACCAAATTTTTTTCTTATATTAAGCTCGAATGTGTATCATGAAAAAAGCAGAGAAATGTTTGCATCAGTGTGAGGGAGAAGCTCATCCCGAACGGGAATACATCACGATCAACAGAAGAAATTGGAATGCAAAGTACAAACTATAGAAGAAGACTGAATTGTTTCTCAGAAGCCGAACCTTGTTATGACCCTGAAACTGGCAATCATTCCGGGCTGCACATCCAAAGGCATGAACTTTGAAGTGGTTAATCCATTGATTCTGCTTGCACTTAGTGGCTCCATCCGAGGAAATTCGGATACTACATCCTTTTTTACAGAAGGACTTGTTTGATTAAGGGAAATTAATTTCACATCAATAGACGTGAAGTAGATCCCTTTTAAATCCTCTTCTATTCCTTTAGGTAGTGTTTGGTTGCAAGGATGGGATGAGATGGGATGGAATGAACCCACTTTTAGAGGTGTTTGGTTGAGAGGTGAGTGGGACGGGATGGTCCCTAGAGAGGAATATTCCTCTCAGATCCGGGATGAAACGGTCCGCCAAAATCGGCCGGACCAATCCATCCCACTTCGACGGAGCCCACGGCGTCACCTCCCGTAGCCTCCCGCTCGGCTCCGCCGCCGCCTCATCCGCGTCGACCTCCGCCTCCGCGACCGGCCGTCATCTCGTCCGCGACCGCCTCCGCGACCGACCGCCGCCGCTCGTCGTCAGCTCCCACAGCCTCCCGCTCAGCTCCGCTGCGGCACCGCCCCGGCCGCCCGTCCCTCCCCCAGCGCCGCTCCGTCCTCCTTCGCCTGCTCCCTCCACCTTGCCTCGCCTCCACGACCGGCCGCCGCCTCGTCTGCGACTGACCTCCGTCGCTCGTCCGCGTTCGCCTCCGCGACTGGCCGTCGCCTTGTCCGCGACTGGCCGCCATTGCTCGTCCGCGCCTCGTCGCCTCCGGGACCAGTCGCCGCTCGTCTGCGCCTCGCCTCCACGACCGGTCGCCGCCTTGTCCGCGACCGCCTCCGCGGCCGACCGCCGTCGCTCGTCCGCGCCTCGCCTCGCCTCTCCTTGCCTCCACGACCAGTCGCCGCCTCGTCCGCGACCGACCGCCGCCACTCGCCCGCGCCTCGCCTCACCTTGCCTCCGCGACTGGCCGCCGCTGCTCGTCCGCGCCCGCCTCCGCATCTCCTCCGCTCGCGCCGACGAGCTCCTCCGTCCCCATTCTCACCACTCTCTCCAACCTAGCCGCTGGGAGCGGACGAACCTAACTGTCCGTGAAACATTATCCATCCCATCCCATCTTAATTCTTTCTACCAAACAAAAAACTATAACCATCCCATACCACAAACCAAACACACAACTAGAACCATTCCATCCTAAAAAACAGGGATAGGTCTAACCCATCCCACTTGGTCACCAAACCAAACACACCCGGTGGGGGGTAAACCAACCAGACCTACCCAGCCTACGAGGAAATTCGGATATAAGCCTAAATTTTACTACAGAAGAAATTCTTGGGTTCTTCAAGATAGCTGCACAACCTGTATTTCAGTCCTTGCAAGGAGCTATTTGTCATATACTTGTATAAAAAGCAGGGTTGAGAATATAGTTCACTTGGTGTAAATAGCGCCTACGAGAACTTGGGCCTAACAAAAAGTGCAACAGTTTGTGTAGCGGTTAATTTTGGCCCATGGTAGCGGTCCAGATGGTAGCTGTCCTATTTCTATAGAGAAAGTCTATACTCACTCTTGTCCTTAATCGGATCGCTTCCCTCAACCACAAAACCATGTATAACGTCGGGGCTTGCTATCTCGTGCGCGCACCAACAACTAAGCTGGCACACGTGCCGGCTGGCGGCCCACGCCCCTCCCCTACATGCGTTTCTTTTTTTCTTTTTTTTGCGATTTTCTCCTATTTTCAAGCCTCTTATCCTAGGCGTGTTTTAATTTCTTTCGTGTTCTTTTTAATTTTTTTAATCTGCAGGCACACTTGTTTTCAAATCTTTAAGTTGAAAGATTTTAAATTAAGTTGAAAGTTTTGGAATCTTGACTTGAAAGTTTTCCAATCTAAGCTGAAAGTTTCCAAATTTCGAGTTAAAAGTTTTCAAATCCGAGTTGAAAGTTTCAAATTTGAGTTGAAAGTTTTTCAAATTTCAGATGAAAAGTTGAAAGTTTCAAATTTGAGTTGAAATTTTTTAAATTTAAGTTGAAAGTTTTCAAATCTTAACTTGAAAGTTTTCCAATCTAAGTTGAAAGTTTTCAAATTTCGAGTTAAAAGTTTTCAAATCTAAGTTGAAAGTTTCAAATTTCAGTTGAAATTTTTAACATTTAAGTTGAAAGTTTTCTTGACTTGAAAGTTTTCTAATCCAAATCGGAAGTTTTCAAATTTTGAGTTGAAAGTTTCCAAATCTGAGTTGAAAGTTTCAAATTCGACTTGAAAGTTCAAATTTCAAGTTGTAATTTTTTAAAATTTGACTTTACAGTTTCATATTTTAAGTTGAATTTTTAAATTTCAGGAATGTTTTAAAGTTTTAATATAAAGTTTTAAATTTGATTTTAAAGTTTCTTTCACGTGTAGATTTCTTTCAGCCTGTTAGTAAAAAAATACTTATAGAAAAAAGAAAAAAACTACCTTAAATTTTAGGTTTGTTTTTAATTTTCAATAGAAAGTTTTAAATTTTATTTGAAAGTTTCTTTCATGTGTAGATTTCTTTCGGTCTGTTAGTAAAAAAACTCCCAGACAAAAAAAAAACTTACCTTGAATATCATCAATATCCAATACTAGACAGAGTTAGTTACAAGAGTTAGTTACAGTAGATGCGCGCGTCTCCCGGAAAAAGGAAAAAGTCCGATTGCGGATTGGGTGACATCGTGTGTGTGCTACTTCTCTTCCCGACGTGTACTCACGGTACAAGAATTATGTGTAACGTCTCCCCCAACTCAAAAAACCGGTGCAAAATCGATTCCTCAATGGTTCGGTAAGAGGTTGTGCGGTGGGCCTCACCTATCAGTTACACTTTTTCCCCTTACCCCACCTCTCCCTCTCTCCTCTATCCTATGAGATAGGCTATAGGGAAAGCGGCTGCCGCCAAGGAACACCGGCAGTAGAGACGAAATGGCGCATGGAGGAATACAGGAGGGCAGAGAATGAAATTTTAAAATATGCACTATTTTCCTCGATTTTGTATATATACATATATGCTTTTGAAAATTTTATAGAAATATACATCCGCATCACCGTGCCGTCGGCGCAGCTCGAAGACGCGCCGCAGCGCCAACACACGTGACCGGGACGGTCCCGTGAGGCCCGGCGCCGCGTCGGCCCGTTCCTCTGATGCACGTCTGCCAGAGCCTGGCAGTGGCGCAGAACTGGCATGCACTACGGGTGCGTTTGGTTGCTCGTATTCCCTTAGCCTGGCTCATCTCTTCCATCCAGGCTGAGTCTGGCCTGGTTGAGAGGATACACATGCAGCTGTTTGGTTGCCCGCATCTGATGAACCTGGATCTGTTGAGATGATGTTTGGTTGGTTGCAGCAAAGGATTGGTGGAATGGTTGCATGCAGGAGATGTTGTTTGGTTGGATGGATGCATCTTGGGTGTAAACACCCTCTCCTATGAGTGGTGAGGTTACCCTCATAAGTTTGTGGTGTGAAAATTTTCTCAAGTGTCTACTTCTGTGCGGTGAGGTTACTCCATGAGGTCGTGTTAAAATTTTATTTGCTCTTTGGCTTACTATTATTTGTGAGCTAAATTGCTTAAAATATTGCTATGCACGTCTATTTTATTTGGTTGGTCTTTGAGTATATACAAGGAACAGATCAAATATTTTGGTCTTTGAGTATATACAATTACATTGATGTTATACAAAACTAAACCAATTGGTATATTAGTAACAAATTGTTATACATATGCAATCTGGTAAATGACAAGTGCATATAGTATGTTCTTATGCATCACAGATCAGTACTATTAATCATCAATTGCAGTATTTTCCAGCTTGACCCTAACAAAAAAGAACTAAGTGCAGGAAATATGTTATTATGCATTACAAATCAACACTATTAATCTTAATCATCTTGGAAATATCTCACAATTGCATCTCTTCATATGCATCGGAAGCATCTTGGAACCATAACAACATAAAAAAAGCAAGTGCAGAAGCATCCTTTCATATGCAGCACAAACAGTGGCGTGAAGCATTCATCAGTGGCAATAATCATCATTGAAGAATCAAGGCAGAGATTCAACAAGGGTCATGCAATACCATGCAGTTTACACTACAAAAGCCATTCAGGTACTGGTGTTCACTACCACCTTAATCAACAGGTAGCCAACATTCTACAAAAGACATATATGTGGTGTCCACTACCACCTTAATCTGCATCTAAGCAATATTACATAATATGGTGTCCCAGTACCACCTCTCCATAATAGTTAGTTAAATAGTTAGATGCTCTCAGGGTGATGCTCATTCAGGAACTTCCTAACCCAACGAGCACGACAAGCCTCATTCTTCTGAATGTATACAAGGCTTTCAGCCTTCTCCTTAGTTAGATAAGCTAGAATAAGGTCCAGCTGATCCTCACTGAAACCTGGAAGATCCATCACTGTGTTGCACAAATCAGGGTGAACCTCAGTATGTGCAGTAGCGCCTATTGCTGAAGCCATGTTGTTCACTGAATCTGTCATATTGCTGATGAGAGCAACTTCACCTTCATTCAAAGCAGATGCTCTCTTCCTCTTCTTATCTGAGGTAGAATCCTCATCAGTAGGCCCAACACCACTTGCTCGAGCAGCAATTCCAGGACCTTCAGCACCCACACCACTTGGTCCAGCAGCAATACCATCCCCAATAGTGCCATCAAGAGGTCCCAGACCACTGTCAGCCTCACCAGCAGGGTTTCCAAGCGCTTCATTTGACCCCATAGCAAATCTCCCAGTGGCTTGCCTATTTGAAAAAATTATTGCCATTTGTGTATAGTTCTCTAAAGGCACATTGAGAAACTCAGCATCCTTAGGGTGTTCCTATATGAGAACATTAGATTTAAAGTGAGATATGATGTGTACTAATGCAGTGTGTTTTGTATGTGATAGTTAGACACAAACCTTGACATGTCCCATGTAGTGCTCCTCTTCTAGGATAATCGTTGAGGTCTGATCATCCCAAAGAGCCCCACTAAGGTCTTTGAGCCTAGTGATACGCACCCACCTTTGACGCCATTTGCGAAGATGGTTATACACTTGGGTTCCACTAATTTCAATTCCATAGTGATCAGACAAAGATCTAGCAACTTGGTTAAGGTGAGCTTCATTGAAACCCTTGTCAGTCCTAACACCTGTTGCTATAAGCTCAACCATGCGCCTTAGCATTAAGCTAGACATGTTGGTTGTCCAATGCAAGGCTCCATGGTGTCCACCATGGCCACCATTCCCGCCACCAGCCTCAGCCATCCTATATTTACCACATGCAAATGAACAAATAAATTTAACATAAATCGATAGATGTAATAAACAGCATCATTGCAAATATCTCGAGGTCTCAAATTAATAGATAACAGTGCAACAGGGTACAACAATCATCATGCATGAATAGATAACAGTGCAACACCATCCTAAGTTCACAGATAGAGAGTTACAAATTAATCCCTAAGCATGTTAGACCCTGGACGACCCTCTATTGTTCCACATAGCACCAGCCAAATCATCCCTAATTTGCGCCATTCCCCTATTGTCTTCATCTAAGTCATCGGGCTCCTCATCATCGCTATCTGAGTTCCAATCACTCTCTAGTGGCACATGGTCATCCATCCCAAACTGAAGTATCCAGTTATGAAGTATGCAGCATGCAAGGACCAATTTGACTTGGGTCTTGTATGGATGGAAAGGCTTGTTATAGAGTATTCTGAAGCGGTTTTTGAGTGCGCCAAATGCCCGCTCGATCGTGACCCTTAAAGAGGAGTGTCTTAGATTAAACAACTCTCTCGAATCACGAGGGTAGTTTCTTCTATCATACTCCTTCAAATGGTATCGACACCCACGATATGGCGGAAGGAACCCCGGTCTAGCAGCATATCCAGCATCAACGAGATAGTATTTTCCTAAGAGATAAAAGCTATGAGTGTAATAATCATATGAGATAAATAAGAATCCTTATTAATCGTTAGTTTTAACACTTCTATTACCTGAGGGGACACTAAGACCATCATCCCTCTCCAAGGCATCTGCAAGTATGAGGGCATCATGTGCAGATCCTTCCCACCCAGCAAGTACGTATGTAAATCCAAGATCAAAGTCCACTGCAGCCATTACATTCTGGGTGGTCTCTTTCTTCCTACCCCTAAAGGCAGCAGATATTGTTGATGGAACTCGAGCAAGCACATGAGTTCCATCTATTGCACCAATGCAATCCTAATGACCAGTGAGAAATATTAGGACATGATTGTTGAAAGAACATATTTTGTAGTCAAAATGCTGCAAACAAATTTTTACCTTAAAATAAGGGTTGAATCTTCGATTGGATGTAATTTTTGAATGAGGCTCAGATGAGGGTGGTTTTATCATCTCATTTCGCAGCTCACCAATAGAGAATAATACCTCAGCGAAGTATCTACTGATAGTTTCAATTGACCTCCTAAAAGTGGGTTGCAAAGCTCTAAATCTGTGGTTGTGGCCTACAACAAGAAGAAACATGGCAACTTGTTCTTCCACTGAGCTATGTATACTGTCCCGCAACAACGCTCTTTCTCGTAACAAGTTACACAGCTGAAAAAATGGGGCTCTCTTCATTCTGAGCTGATTTAAGCAATTTGTATCATCTGTATGATAGATGAAACTAAGATTGGATTGTCTAGCTATGTCCCTTTCGGACAATGGGCCATAGGAGATCCTAGGGGTACGTCGCATGGCTCTTCTTGTAATAAACAGAATGTAAGCATTCATTACAGCAACTAATCCAGCTGCTTTAGCAATCAGGGACCGCCGAATGCGTTGCATTTCTTCCATCTATGCAAATAACATATATAATGCATAGTCAATTCAGAAATAAAAGGATGGTCTTGTCGCTGCTAAGTACTGCAAATCAAATTCGTATGCATGTATGCCACGGCCGCCACATCCAAGGGATGCTACCTCCAGTGGCATACCATCATCGACCATGAATATTTACTTACACAAAACACAATCGGCAAAATAATGTGCACAGCCAAAATAGTAACAAAACAGCACCCAAACTTTGCTCTGACATTGAACATTCATCTGTAGCAAACTGAAAAAATAGTAGATCTGGCAAAAAATGAACAACTAAAAAGGATACCAACAGTAGATGGTTTCAACATTTAAATCTACCATAATCAACTAGGAAAATGTATAAGTTTTTACTAGATCTAGCAGATTTATGAAGGCCCCATGTTCTCATCCACTCAAATCACAGCAAATCAACCAAATAGAGGAGAAAAAACTAGGGAAGGAGGGACAGGGAAGAGGATGCCCAACCTTGCAATGGGCGACGAACAACCATCCATGAACTTACCCTGGTGCTCAACGGAGAGTGACGGTGGAACAGGGGGGCACGACGGAGAGAGCCGGCAAACGAGAGGGAGGATGACCGACGCCGGGGAAGGAACTGATGGAGAAGAGCCGGAGTCGGAGGAGAGGGCCGCCGCTCGCGACCGGAGTGACGACGAGAGCAGCGCCGCGCCGCGCCTCGCCTCGCCGCCGCCAGAGCTAGGGTAAACCCTAGTTTTTTCGCGAGAGGGAGAAGTGAGGCGGGGAGGGAGCGATTCTGGGAAGCAACGGTGACCCCATCCTCCGTGAGTTGCACGCGCGGGTGCAGGCGCGGGTGCAGCGGTGTGCATCAGTCGAGCCAGGCTGAGCAGCGAAGTGGGAATCGGCCGTTTCTGTCGGGCCTGGCTGAGGGGCTTTTTTTGCATCCGCGTGGACAGGCTGGGAGGCCTAAGCAGGCAACCAAACATCAGGAATTTGCATGGACTGGTGCGGGCCAACCTTGGTGAGGGCAACCAAACAGACCCTACGTGAATGGTCAGCGTAGCACAGTGATGCATATATAGCATAGTACAGACTGCATTAGCAGCATTAGGAACAAGAGTTTTATTTGATTCCGCTTGACCATTCCGCGGAACCGCGACCTAGTCTGACGTTTCCACATCATGCCGCCGTCACTCCCGGCTGCTACCACACTACCACCTGTGCTCGGGCTGGTGGGGACGGCAGTGGTGGTGATGAGCCGGACGCTCAGTTTTTGTTGTGACTAGGGAAGTAATTAAGTTTTTAAAGCAATATCATCCATGTATGTAAAGGGGTTTCAAGAGCATCAAAGCTGGAGGACAGAACATTGTGCCAAATATCAGGTAACTTTATCTAGAGCAAATGTATCAATACTGCACTTCCTTGTCGAAGTGCTCAGGAATCGGGACCGGTCTCCCGGCAGCGACGCGGACCTCCCTGGTAGACCTTAAGGTGTCTTCAGAAAGTTCAAAAGCTTCTGCCATGACTTAGAAATCTTTTTCTTTCCAGCGTCAGCTACCATTAACTTGAATCCGTTTGTATCTGTGCTGGGGAATCTCATCATAAAACTTCACAAGCCTCTCATTCTTCTTAGTCACTTGAGGATCATCACTTTTGTACTCCTTGGAAATGTCAAATGATATCTCTTCTTCAAATTGTGTTGGAGATTGAAAATAATCGTGTGAGCCAAAACACGGCAAGTATAATGCAGTTTAAAATCAAAATCAACAAGATTTGTAACGCCAACAAAATCATGTATAGCGCAGATAAAAGCCTGAATTGAAATGGACAATTATATACCAATTTCGAGGGGCTTCTACAAATGCAAGTAAACAACATACGGACACCAAATAAGTCAAACTGAAAATGCTGGTGAGTACTGTTTTTTTAATAATTTGAACAACCTAATCGATGAGTTTGAAAAGAAAAAGGGACAGTCCTGCCAATAACATGATTTCCATCATCACAAAATGTTTGTTCAGTGCATTATAGAATAAAATAGGATAGGTGGCTAACGCCAAACTGAAAAATGCTGATGTTTAGTTGTGTTCTGCTGCTCTTTTATATAATCTGAGCAACCTAATCAAATAAGTTAAAAAGAAAAAAAAGGATTGTCCTGCCAATTCTATGATTTCCATCACAATCTACGGAAAGATGATGTTTGTTTCTTTTGTGATTGGAAGTTGGAACAGAAGTTTGTTAGTGATGTTGAATACATGTTAGAACAAAATTAGTAACCTGCAAATTGAGCTAAACATGCTGACAAATCTTATTTGCAGTAGTGGAGTGCTGAGAAACAGAAAAGAGCACACATGTTCAAGTTGGTCATCTCATATTGCACATCAGAATTGCTAGACAGGTAGTAGAGCAGCACAGACTGCTAAGAGAAATACTGTGATACATTTCATACTTATCCTAAAGACAGATACGGTGCATGCACAAAATGCAACTGAGTATCTTCGGCTGACTTTGGCTTTTATTACAATTATTACATTGCATGGTTATTCAACGTATGACAGATAGATGAATAAAGATTATTGAAACTATATGGAAGACATATATAGTGGTTCAACCTGTTTCAGATAGATGGATGAAGACTAAACATACAAAGCAATACATATATATGGAAATGGTTGGTGAGTACAAATGCTATACAATGTACAGTTACTTGTTGCTAATAATGGAAATATGGAGAGTACTAAATCTAGATTAATATCATTGATTGAACAAATTTTACTTTTGCTAATAATAGGAACAGGGAGAGTAATTAATACCTTGATTGAACATTTTTTGTTTGGCCGGATAAACATAACAAGACCATATAGACACCTCCATCCAAATCAAATCATATCCGAGGGATTACCAAGAACAGTCAAAACTGAGCATATATAATTATATATGAATATACACCAAACAATTATATCTAAATCGCGAGTTTCTCATGGATTATCACGAATAAACATATCATCAGGGAATATCTCATGGATCACCGCGAACAAACGCATCATCATGGAAGATCTCACGGATCACCACGAACAAACACACAATCAGGTAAAATCTCATGGATCACCATGAACAAAAAAAACATCATCAGGTAAAATCAAAGCACACATCTCTTGGGTTACCACGAAGTACACACACATCAGGTGACGATGGACGAGCAATCACCACGAATTATCAATCGTCTCAGCAAACGATCAAAATAGGTATAAGGTTTTAGAGAGGGTCAAGAACCTAGGGCTAGGTTTGCGTAGTATATTTAAAGAAAGAAAATGAATGTAAATTCGTTGTTTTAGATTTGTTTTTTGTTTAATAATTTTGGGTTTATTATATATTCGAGTAGTAACGAGTAGGCGTGGTATATTTATAGAAGGAAAATGAGTAGAAGTTCGTATGATTGGAAATGGAAGATAGTTTTGGAAGCCTCTAGAATCCATATGTGATATTTTTTTCTCTAGATTTTTCCTCACATATGATTATTAGATATTTTTTCTCTACTATAAATTTATGATTTTTCTTCAAAGTAAGAGGCACCATGTGGGCCAATTGAAAGCTAGCAAAAGAGCCAGCTGTAGATGATTAGATTGTCTTATAACTGGTTGATGAACCCCCTACGGTCCTCCTACCTTCATTTTAGGCAATCTACTGCTCCCTCCGGGTTGATAATATTAGTCGTTTCGGACAAGGGTAAAGTCAAACTTTAAAATCTTTGACTACAAATAATTTGTAAAATATTTATCTTAAAAATATGGAAACCATATGTGTAGATTAGTCTTAAAAAGTACTTCAACAAAATCATATATATATATATATATATATATATATATATATATATATATATAATGAAAATAGTTGTCAAAGCTACTTTTCGGAGACCGTGCTCTTGTCCAAAATGACAAGTATTATGATATTATCAACCTAAAGGGAGTAGAAAATAAGCGCGCTAGTTGGTGCGCTCGATTTATATCCCATTTATATTATCTTTGTGTTATTAATTAGCACATTGTTCATTAAAAAATTATAGAAATCAATTTAATTTCCTTGAAACTCATACAAAAATCGTCAAATTATAATAACAGATCATATTGTTGAGAAAATCGTCAAATTTTCTCCTTTTTTTCAATCCATACTATTAATTTCTTTCTTTGTTTTTCTAAAATTATAATTAAATTGTTTACTAATGATAAAATTGGTTTTGTTATCTTTTTTAAAAAATATATGAAGTGTTTCAGATTTTTGTTTTGTTAGGGGCCACAATGTTCATCATTTCTTTTTATGACATAACAATGCTAAGTTAGGTTTAAATCATAAACATTGTATACGTGTTTATATTGATGGCTAATTAGTGATAGGTGAGATATACGTTGATGATGAGTTGCATGTGATGATTTCGCCGATTTTAGAAGAAAAAGAAGTCAATTTTAATTCCTGAACTATTTCACCAGAGCAGTTAACCTCCTAAATTGTTTTTTTTCTCATTTTACAAACCCGAACTATCGAAAACATCTCACTTTACTCTCCTAACACTATTTCTCTTTTTTTTATTTCTCTATATGTAAGTCATATTTTGCACTCTAATTTGGTATAATATAGATGCATTTACAACATAAGTCTCAACATTGCTTTTAATTTTTTTCTCACCGTTTATGTAGGCTAAAAGTACATAGGACTGATTTAAACATCAAAATTTAATGTTCAAGCAAACAACCAAATTTTGAAAAATATTTTTGAACTTTGATAATATTCTAATGTATGACTCTAACAAATTTCAGCTTAAAGTAAGAAAACTAAAAAAT